CTATTACTTATAAAAAGACAGTTTTTAATTGATTTGCTTCAGTAATAAGTGCAAATAAACACTAATAACTAATTTAGTTACTTTTGTGAATCATAGATGGCGTTCTTTAAAATCAGTCCTAGACTTATGCAATATCAACGTGCTTATCCACCATGCACAAATATAGTTACATAATATAATAATGACAAATAATATATGCTTCGTGCATTTAAAATAATCACAGAATCTTCAATTTCATTACAAAAACACTCACTAAAGCCCTTTTACTTATAATAAGATTGATTTTCTTCAATAATATAGCAATAAGTGCAAATAACTAATTTAGTTAATTTTGTGAATCATAGATGGCGTTCTTTGAAATCAGTCCTAGACGTATGCAACATCAACGTGCGTATCCACGATGTACAAATATAGTTACATTCGGATTTATTTTCGTGCCGAAATGGAAATTTTCCAAAGCATTACAATAAGATTGTATAATAATGACAAATAATATATGCTTCGTGCATTTAAAATGATTACAGAATCTTCAATTTCATTACAAAAAACACTCACAAAAGCGCTTTTACTTATAATAAGATTGATTTTCTTCAATAATATAGCAATAAGTGCAAATAACTAATTTAGTTACTTTTGCGAATCATAGATGGCGTTCTTTGAAATCAGTCCTAGACGTATGCAATATCAACGTGCATATCCACCATGCACAAATATAGTTACATTCGGATTTATTTTCGAGCCGAAATGGAAATTTTCCAAAGCATTACCATAAGATCGTATAATAATGACAAATAATATAAGCTTCGTGCATTTAAAATCTTCAATTTAATTACAAAAAACACTCACAAAAGCACTATTACTTATAATAAGATGGTTTTTGCTTCAGCAATAAGTGCAAATAAACACTAATAACTAATTTAGTTACTTTTGCGAATCATAGATGGCGTTCTTTGAAATCAGTCCTAGACTTATGCAATATCAACGTGCACATCCACCATGCACAAATATAGTTACATTCGGATAATAAAGGCGTGAAAGGCGGAGTGCAGTCAAATATTTGTGCATGTAAATCACGTTAACATCTTCCTTTCGATTTCGGATTTCGTGCGTTCCGCGTCTCCTCACACATCCTCCTCTTTGCCTCATTCCGCCAACCTTCTTCGCTCCTTCTATTTTTGTTTCCTTTCGAGGAATCGTTTCAAGTTGGCCGCGTCGGAGTTCAACAACTCCTTATCGCTGCAATTCCGACAACTGAAGAATTCAATTGAAATTAAAAGAACTAAAAATTAAATCTCCGTTACTTTGACTTAGTTTATACTAGACAAATAAAAATTATAATATTTTATAGGATAAGGATTTAAGTATCTAATTTATACAGTCGGGATTGAGTTATTAGCTGTAACGAGAATTTCGTGACGGGGATACGATCAAGCTCTTTTTTTCTCTCCAAGATTTTCGAGGTTTCTTCGTTTATTGTTATTATCATTGCCACATATTCGTGGCGTCTTTAAAACCAAAGATGAAAGAGTCGAATCGAAATGATGATGACGAAAATAATAATAATAAAACTGACCTGGTTTCCAATAATAACGATTTGTTTAATTAAAACTGTAAACGTAACACACGTATAATAATAATGCATCATCTTGTTTTTTTATATAAAAACATGCTGATTCAATCATTAGCGGTTTCCGGATGTCATTTCTATTTTTGGAGGAAAACTATAAATTTAACGCCAAATTAACGACGTTTTTTTTCTTCCTTTAAATAATTAGGATCAAAGTACAAAGTGAAATTTTTATGCATTTAATTTTTGTTAGTTAAATAACTGTACAATATCGTTATTAAAGCTTATTAAAGCTGTTTCAAATGTGTAATTGACAAATTAAAAATTTACATTGTTGCGTCGAATACTGAAACGTTCTCTATGATTAATTTGAAACGTGGACTCGTGTCTGGCGATTTTGATGGAATTTCGAACAACGATTTGCGTTTCGAACGAGTAAACAAGGAGTCTCAATTACAGAAATTAACTTAATCCTTGCATTTCATACCTTTTAAGGATTATAGAGTAAATTGTGCCATGTTTATAAATTACGAATTGAAAGACTTACTTCATACAAATCGTTATATTTGTAAATGCACTTTCGCCACTTAATAAATTATTTAAACTACTTTTGAACTTGAATGATCAAGGATGATCATGAAGGTTGGAAGTGCAATTTTAAAGATCTGTCCATAAATTGGATTTCAGTGGATTTTCTCAACATCTCACGAAGTGATTTACTGAATCCGAGGATTCCACTTGAACCCAAAGATCAAGTGTTTCAATGGCTTTTCGATTGATGTTGTAACGCGGTTTGGCGTACAAGAAATAAAACAAAGAATAAATAACGAAAAAAAAAACAAACTTAGATGAAAAACGAATCGATTACGTCTAAACTCGGCGTGTCCACTTTGATCAATGAAAATTCGATTTATGTAACCGCAAATCGCGTTGCAATAAATCAAGTGTGTGTGTGTATGTTTGAGTATATGCGTGGAGGTAGAGAGGAAAAAGGTGAAAAACCGCAAAAAGTATTAAAACGCTGCAGACTGCAATTTGCTGAAAATTACCGTTCTTGTGACAATCCAGACTACAATTTAAAGGCGCCTCCATTCTCCTACATATATATTACTATAAATAGAGCTGTTACAACATGCCCGTGCGTTATTACAATATGCATAAGGTGTCGTGGTGATCGGTATTTTTCACCCTTTCACAATTAGCAAATTGTTAGTGCACATTTACATGCACACGAATTTCGTACGCGATCCGACCCACTTTTCCAATTTGATACAAACAACAATAACAACTTCAACAACAACGGCGACGGAATGCGATTAGAGGCCTGACTTACTTAAATCGCTCTCATGGTACATAATGGTAATTAATCAAAAAACAACGAAGGAGGAGCGAAAACAAAGAAAATAAGCATCTGGGATCGAGACTGACTGATCCAATTCGACTGTTACTATAATCGGATCGAATGAGATTATGGACGCTGTTAGTGTGTTGCAATCTTTTGCATTATATTGACGTAATTAGATCAGAAAACTGTATTTTTTTTATAGGACAAAGTGCTTAAGCTTAAAATACTCAGATTTAAAAAAAAAATAATTAAATTATAAAATATTATACAAAAAAATGGTAAAATTAGACTACTACAATTTTGGAGAACGTTTCCTTGAGGAACTCTTATCATAATTTAAATATGATGTAAGTTGTTGGTAATTTTAGTTTTATAAGATAACAAGTCTGAAAGGAAAGGACAAAGTATAGTTCCTTGAGAAACTTCTATCAAAATAGAAAAAAAAATGCAAATAGTTTTTGATTTAGTTGATTTTACTATAGTTTGGAGATTTAAAAGGAAAATGAACGTTTCCTTGAGGAACTCCTATCATAATTTAAATATGATGTAAGTTGTTGGTAATTTTAATTTTATATGATTGCAAGTCTGAAAGGAAAGGACAAAGTATACTTCCTTGAGGTACTTCTATCAAAATAGAAAAAAAATGTAAATAGTTGTTTGATTTAGTTCATTAAGATTTTAAATAATTTTACTATAGTTTGGAGATTTAGAAGGAAAATTAACGTTTCCTTGAGGAGCTGTTATCATAATTTAAATATAATGTAAGTTGTTGGTAATTTTAGTTTTATAAGATAACAAGTCTGAAAGGAAAGGACAAAGTACACTTCCTTGAGGTACTTCTATCAAAATAGAAAAAAAAAATGTAAATAGTTGTTTGATTTAGTTCATTAAGATTTTACATAATTTTACTATAGTTTGGAGATTTAGAAGGAAAATGAACTCTTATCATAATTTAAATTTGATGTAAGATAACAAGTCTGACTGCTAGTGTGGTTCCATTTGGATATAGTAATAGATCTAAATTTTAGTATTCGACAAAGTATACTTCCTTGAGGTACTTCTATCAAAATAGAAAAAAAAATGTAAATAGTTGTTTGATTTAGTTCATTAAGATTTTAAATAATTTTACTATAGTTTGGAGATTTAGCAGGAAAATGAATGTTTCCTTGATGAACTCCTATCATAATTTAAATTTGATGTAAAATAACAAGTCTGACTGCTAGTGTGGTTCTATTTGGATGTGGTAATAGATCTAAATTTTAGTATTGGACAAAGTATACTTTCTTAAGGTATACCAAATTTCAAAAAATTATAATTAAATTATAATATATTATAAAAAATATGGTACAATTTTGGAGAAGACAAAGTACACTTTCTTGAGGTACTTCTATCAAAATAGAAAAAAAATATGTAAATAGTTGTTTGATTTAGTTTATTAAGATTTTAGATAATTTTACTATAGTTTGGTGAATTAGAAGGAAATTGAACGTATCCTTGAGGAACTCCTATCATAATTTAAATATGATGTAAGTTGTTGTTAATTTTAGTTTTATAAGATAACAAGTTTGACTTCTAGAGTGGTTCCATTTGGATATGGTAATAGATCTAAATTTTAGTATTGGACAAAGTATACTTCCTTGAGGTATACCAAATTAAAAAAAAAACTAATCTTTGAATAGGTCTGACTATGAAGTTGCAAGCAGTAATAGATGTGTAGCGGGTGTAGTTGTAGTCTAGGTGATTTATAGTGCACACGGTAATGATAATTAATTGGTCGGGTCATGGATTGTCCCATGCTGGGGGCCCGGCATCTTGATAAAGGGCATAAATTTATTTAGCGTCCCAGACCGTGTGTGTGCACTTCCGTGGATTTTAATATCAATGAGCCAGAACGCACCCATGCCACGCAGAGCCACACAAAACAACACTGCACCACAATCAGACCAGACCATACCATGTTGTACCATGATGCTACAGACCATATAGTAAATACTCATGCAGCATGTGTGTGCATGTGTACGTACGGATGGTAGAGGAAACGTAACGGTCTCCGTCAGACGAGAACTGATTAAGGACTCACGTACTTACTGATCCACAATGATAATGCATTATTTCTGAGAGACCCAGACAACGGCGAACCACTTCCAGCGGCCACAGACAACATCTCTATTATATAATGAGTTTCTACTCTGCTCCGCGCGTTCACTATATGTTGTCATTACTGTTCTTTTATTCTCTGTCTATTATTTTTATTTTTTCATTCCGCTTCTTGTTCAACACTTTTTCTTCATCTTCATTGCTTTTTTTCTGTTGTTTTGTTTCTTTTCGTTCGATTTGCGTCGCACTCTCATCATTTCTCGCTCGGTAATACCATCTTTCTAATTGCCATCCATCGAGGTTTCCATTTCCAAATAGATTAAATAATCTCTCGATGGACTTTGCGAAGAGAAATTCTACGTGGTATCATCTTCGATGACTTTCTTGATTTAATTCATTTGAAAGAAAGACAAAAAAAAATATGTGTATATACACTTGCACTTGCTTCGACACTCGAGATTATCCACGAACCACTTCAAGATTGTAATAGTTTTTACAAAAGTTAAAATCACTTCAAATCGAACCATTATTAAATTCACAATGCAATCAACGTCTATTGGAGAATCTATTTTTAGAAATTTAATTATATATAAAAATGTTTTAATTACATAACAAAATTATAGAAAGTGTTTGTCGCTTTTTCTTTCAATAATTCATACTTATCATTTTTATTTAGATTATACAATTAATCTTTGTTTTAGGTTTGAGTGTATTATTTATAGTTTGTAATTAATATAATTATATTTTAATTGTAGTAATGTATATAAAAAAATACAAGAAGTAATTTGATAATTAAAAATGTTGTGTAATTATGGAATCTAAATTACAATTAGGTTTCCTGCTAATGCAATAAACGAGTTCGTATGTCTCGTATATATTGTCGAGTTTCAGGTCTCCGTCCGTATATGAAATGCGATTCGATTATATAAAGTGGAGCGTAATGATCAAAGGTTGTTGCTGCTATTACGGCTGGCGCCTTGCGAGGAAACGCGGACAGAAAACAACAGCAATCGTGGAAGAAAATAAAATTACATCGACAATGCAGAAGCGATGAGGTATGCAAATTCCTGTAAGCGAATCGCCGGAAACGCTACGTAACCGGAAAGAGTGAAAAGCGGAATGATGAGTGCGAAGAGAGGTTGGTTCTTTCGTCCTTGGGAAGGACACGTATTCGAATGGAAAGCCGACGATCAGCTGTGCGATATCCAATCCAAGCCTTGTCGCCGTAATAGATCTGGGTGGATAAAGAAGACATCAACGGAAGCCGTTCTGCCCACGTGTACATAAAGATGCGCCGCGCGGAAGGCGCTTGCATAACGCAAAAAGAATCAAAGGTTTCGGGCGGAAAGAACACGGAGAAGAAGGAAAAGAGCTTAATCTCCATTAGGAGAGTAATCAGTTAAAGAGGAGTTCCAGCATTAATTACAGCCAGAGCGGAGTCGGCCGAGCGAGCAGAGAGCGAAAGAAGAAACGAAGATCGAGCAGCAGCAGCAGCGTCTTCTTTCAGGTCGGACACAGTCAATGGACTCTGGCGAGTCTCCTGAGTCTTTTGCAGGCGAGTCACGCACGCGGCTCTCCTCCGCCACCTCCGAGGATCCAGCAAACATCCCAAGAAGATCTTTTCCTCGTAGAGAAAGAAGTAAAGAGAGTTCTTCTTCGTGCGAATTTTCTAAATATGTGCCATCCAATCCTACTGCTGCTTCTCTTCGTTTTGTATTTGCTGCTTTGGCGAGAGGAGTCGAGGCCGGAAATTTACGGCGCCCACGCATCCCGAATAAATAATATAAATCTCGCATCTCGATACTAAAACATGATTAGTGAAATTCGAGCTATGGAGATTAGGTAACGAGACTTCCCAGTCGTCGTCGTCGGGAAAGTTAATTGCATGCGGAGGGCCGCGTCGAGAAAAATCCGTGCGAAATCACGAGTACAAAAATATGCACACTTTCTTTTTCCTAACGCACCAATCGATTCAGTTCACTTCTAAAAGTCTTATTATATATTTTATGTTGTTATCATTTCCAGATTTAGTAGTAATTAATGGAGGAATAAAAAAAGTTTTCATATCAAAAAAAGAAGTTGACAAACATCTTGATTTCGAGATATGATGTAATTAAGGAACAAAGGAGGTTTTCATGCCTATAAATAGTTGACTAACATATATAGATATGCCGTAATTAGCTAAAAAAAGAAGATTGTAGTTTATACCTAGATGTCTCGAGATGGGAAAGTGGTAAAAACTCTCATGACTTTGAAGATTTAGTTAAAACGTCCATAAATTACCGCGCGCGCTTTCCTTAAAGCAAAACGGGACGACTTCATTTAGATAGATTTAGTAGTGACCGAACGTCCTCGGGCGGCATTGTTATAATTCGAAACGGGGGAATTCCTGCACCGTTTTCGTTATGTAACGCCGCGCCGATAAATAAGTGCCGCCGCAGAAGATGAAATTAAAAGCTGCAGGTGAAACTGCTCTTAAGTTTCTCCTCTTCTGATCATCTTCATCTTCGAATGCTCAGCGAAGTATGAAAAAGGCCTTGCAGGAAAAAAAAGAAAACAAAAAGAAAATGATCGTTAAATGACCGGAGCAGTTCATTACATTTATTATCATTGCTCACTTTTACATTTATATACAGTGTGATCGTTTTTTTTGTTGTTGTTGTAGATCTAAGATACGCACATTGTGCACATTGTACTTTGAAACCAAAAAGGAATTGAACGAAATGCGAGCACGCAATCGACTGTAAAATATATTTACGATTGGATATCTTCCTCTTTAATTTATTGCTTCATTATCAAATGCAGCCAACATTTGCTTAACTATTAATCATGATTACGATCGGGCCGTGCCACGTCATTATATTATTTCGCTCGTCCTCCTTCCACACGCATAAACAACTGCGAAGCTTTATTACTATCCTCTCTCCAGACAATGGACAATAATGTTTGAGAGAGAAGGATAGAAAAGTAGTTGCGCAACCGAAATCATTAATTAGATCACTAATAAACCGAAACCCGAAGCGAAAATCCAATTCCTCCAATTCACCTTTTGTTGAAAGCTCTCGCTTGTTGCATCATATGAAGAAGACCCTCCTCATCGGATTAAAAATTAAGCGGAACGTATGCAACAAGAATACATCATCATCATCATCGTCGTCGAGCTGACCATTATCTTTCATGGTTATTTTACAGCGTGAAATGAAAATAATAAAATGAAATAAAAATGATGATGGTCGTGAAAAGGTGAACAGAAAACGCGATTAGTTTTTCCTTTTGCGGACTCAGCCTTGGGATAGGTCAACGTTTTCGCTTTCGCTCTCGATTTTCAAGAAGATTTTTATTCCAAAGAACAATAACATTTCTGTGAATCATCGTATATAAAAGCTATGTTGTATAATGATGATTTCATCAAAATACCAGTTTTCAATTTTAAAAACTATTATTTTCTAATTTAACTGAAAGATATGAAATTATTTGAAATTACATTATTTTAAAAAGCTTAACTAATTAAACATTAAAGATTTCTATTATCCATTTATTAAAAAGTAAATACGGAAGAATTTATTATAAAAAAAACATGTTTTCTTAACGGAAATCATCAAACCAAATACGTGAGCAATTCTTTTGGTATTTTAAGAGAGAATTAACAAATGGGACGTCGAAAACAAACAACGGCTTTTAAAAAAGACAGAATTCGATTGGGAAATTGATGGTGACTCTTCGCCATCTAAATTATCCACCATATTTAGTTAGCGATTGCATCAAAGTCGGAACTAAATACAAAAAAATAAATAACAACAACATCCTTGGATTCTTGGAGCCTCCTCTGTAGGTGGGCCAAAACCACGACCAATATATTAACATCTTTATAGATGGAAACGATGACAAGGCGCTTGTAGTTTTATTAATCTTCTTGATGGTGCGCGTGGGCCATTCACAATGTCACAAATTAATTAAGATCTGAAGAAACTAAACAATTTTGTTTTATACGATTCTTTAAATCAGTGATTCCCAAAGTGGTCTATATCGACCCCCAGGGGTCTATGACAACCTGCAAGGGGTCTACGTCAGCGAAAAAAAAATTTGGGGGTCTATGAAATGAAAATGGGAGTCCACGATAGTGGATCTCAACCGGTGGCAATCGAAATCCAGACGTTCGAAATCGCGACTTTATCGAAATCCCGATTATATCAAAATTCCGACAACCATAATCCCGACTATATCGAAATCCCGACAGTGTCTTTTATTATATATGAGTATAGTGTTTCATTATAATTATTTTATTAATTTTTGTATTATAATAAAGATAATTTTAAAAATTCATCGCTCGAGTTTTTTATTTCTAGAATATAACGGGGGGAGTTGAGATTATTAATTGTTGTTATTACTATTAATAACAATATATATTTATTATTGTATTTGTTTTCATTGACTTAATAAAACTTAAAATTAAGAAATATTCTAAATTAAAATTAATTTATTGTTATTAATATTAAATAATAGTAGATGGTGACTGCGTTATTGTAAAATTATAATAATAAAAGACACTGTCGGGATTTCGATACATAACAATTATGTATTTGAGATTTATTGATAATTATAATAATAAAAGACACTGTCGGGATTTCGATACAGTCGGGATTATGGTTGTTGAGATTTTGATATAGTCGGGATTTCGAATGTTGGGATTTCGATACAGTCGGGATTTCGAACGTCGGGATTTCAATAGTAAAAGTATTTATGAAGTAAAAAAAATATTATATATGTTTATAAAATTGTGTAAGTTGTAGGATGTAGGCATTCACTTTGTGGTCGTAATAAATTTTGAACTTGTAAAAACCTGCACATAATGATATACCAGTATCATCTTGTTACAAGTATATGCGCAGTCTCAGAGTAAAGATCTTAATAATTATAAAGATATCCCAATATAAATAATAAATTTACAAAAAATCAATATCTGTTTGGGAACCTCTGCTTTAAATTAACATGTTTGAGAGAAAATTTAGGTGTTCATCAAGTATTTGAAATGAATATTAGTAGATTTATATAAGGTGAAGCGAATAATTGTAGGGTTTTAATTGGGAATAAATCTCAGATGG